CCCCCCCCCATACACCCACCCCGGCACTTATGACCCCCCATACCACACCACAGACTCTCCCCCCCACACACATGCAGACACCTACACATACACCCCCCACAAACACACACACCTCCACACACAAACACACCCACACAGACACCTCCCCACACCTCCCTGGAGGGCCCTCCAAGAAACAGCCCCAGCATCTGGCAGTGGTAAAGGACGCTGTGGATGTCACTGGTGCTACGGTTGGTAATTGTGTGCGTGGGTGTGTTCCCAGGTTCATAGGAACTAGTGAGACCAAGATCTGTCCAGGATGGATTAGATAGGGATGATCCTGCCTTGAGCAGGATTCTGTGATTTTCTGTGATTCTAGGATCTCCTGGCACAGATCTCCCACCCTCCACATGCCCATCACAGAGCCAAACGCACCCCCATTACAGCCAGCAACACATACACACCTCTGCCTACGCCTAGCACAGTTCTAGCTACATCTGCTCTCTCCCCCACGTGCACCTTGCTACAGGCCCTTCCCAGATCGCATCCCCATCCCTTTTGATTTGTCAAAAAGCCTTTTGATTTGTGAAAGCTGCAAGGAGTTGCTCCTAAAATACTGTGAGGCAGAAGCAGGGCAGCATGATACCTTAAAGCAGTGAATCTCAACCAGGGTGTCACAGCACCCCAGGGTGCCACACAATTCTTTTAAGAGTGCCTCCAATATTAGCATTGTGATGTAATGCAAACACCTACATGTGATTCACAAAATAAACCCGAAGATTTCAAATAGAAATCCATAGTGTCCACAGCACTCTCACCTGTTCTGGTCATTCTGAGTTCTTTGAAAGGGAGAATTGCTCTACAATTTCTCCATCATCAAAAAACAAGTGAAAGCAAAGAGCTGGCATTTTCCAAAGGGTGCCTTCAGCCTAATGAGGGGTGCTTATGAAAGCTTATGCATTTCTGAACAAGGTAGCCTCTAAAGTTGCCCTGCCTTCTACCTGACTTTAGCTAACACAGCTAAAATAACCTCTCTAACTACTCTTGTGATTCATATAGTGATCTGGGAGCAGCGTGTCTCAACTCATGGAAAGTGGATAGCAAGAACAGGGCTGCGAACAAAGCGGGTCGCAAGAATAGGATTGTAAGTGGGTTGCAAAAAAAGGGTCGTGAACAAACTTTAAAAATGGCTTCTTCTTTAAAGGAGAAAAACCCAGGAACCCGGGGCTTTTCCTTTGCAAGCTGGCAGAGTTCCAGCCTGTGAGGGGCTGCTTGGGGCTCCCCATGCCCCACACATCCCCCTCCCACCCCTCACACTGGGGGCTGGGGCCTGGAGGCGGGGGGCAATGGGTTAGGAATGAGGGGTACTGGGTTAGGACTCGCCATTGAGGTTTACAAATGGATCCTGGTACAAAAAAGGTCGGAAGCTACTGATCTAGGAGTACCCCCAGATTTGTGTCTGCTTTGTCTGACCTCTGTTTATAGACTATCACTTCTGCCACTGCCTCAAAGCATTTTCCTTTTCTGACTAATATATCTTTCCTGGGGTTAACTGAAGCAACCTCCCTTTTATCCACATTCCTTCAGACACAGTAGTACCACTCTTCATATTGTCGGCAGTAAATTCAGAAAGGCTCTAGACCTAGGTGTCAGCAGCCCATTATTGGCATTGGACTACACTGGTTCTTGAATATTCAGAACAATCTTTTCTCCTTTACACATCAAGCTGCTGGGCACACACCAAACCATATCAACAGTCCCTGCTCAAACAGGCAGGCACATGAAAGGTCCCCCCTTCAATTTAATCTTGACTCTTCAAATGTACATAAAGCACATTGGTGTTGTCCTCTCTACCCACAGGCAGACAGTGTGCATGGCTTGTAATGGATTTGGGCTTGTATGCAGCAGTCCCTTTTATCAGGGGAGTAATTCCTTTATTGGTTAATGCTTTGATTCATTAGCATCATGATACCTTCCTAAGGGCACGGGCAAATTAACAAATTAAAGTTAGTGCCAGAGAGTCCACAGTAACTTACCTGAGTGCCTGCACATTACATGACAGTCCTCTCCAAGGATCATCACCTTGGGGTGGTGGAGAGGCTTGTGTGTTCCTATGACCCTGAAAGTGATGCTCTCTGGAGCTCGCACTCCTAGTAGGGCCACCTACGATGGCAAGGTCGAGGGGGAAGTTCCAGGCAAAGAATGATCCAAGGAGTCCTCAACAGTGGAGCAGGCAGAGGAAGGCTGCGCCCCCAACAGCTGTGAAGGTAGAAGGCTGCAACGGAGAAGTGGCCCTAGTTGTCATGGTTTGCCATGCCACTGAACCATCAGTGATTTGGATGAGGGGGTAAAAAGCACCCTGTTCAAATTTGTTGATGACACTAA